GTACTATTATACAAGGTCAGAATGGAACCAGCAACAGGACTGGATTAACAATGAGGCACCTAAGCTATGACTCCATGGGTCCTTACCATTCCCCTGCTTAGGGTCTAGATTTGTTCCAAAGTTATGAAAATAATTGTTGACACGTATGGGCTAATGTCCTCTGTGAAGACTGGCAGGATTCAAACATAGGGAGCCAAGCTCTTCATGGCAGTACTGTCTTATCCATCTCGGTCTTTAATTCTTTCTTAACAATGTTTGTTTTATCTTTTCTATTTTGCCTTTCATTCTGCTTGACAGAGGAGCGAGAAACAAAATAAGATTTGAAGTTTGCCTTCTTTCTGACTGCTTTTTTTGCCATCAGTAGAATCCTTGGTTCTTATTACCCTGAAACTAACTAAAGAAAGCCTTTTCTGTTGTTCTTAGTATTTTTCAGAAGCTTCAACTAGGTCTGGACTGTAGCCATTCTGACTTAATCATGCCCTTTCAGGTCATGTATACTTCCCTTTTGTGTTTGTTGCAGATTATATGCTTTTTTTTTCATATCCTCTAGTGCTCTTTTAAAATCAGAATTCATTGGAGATCACCCTACACTGCTACTGCCTTTCTAGAGTCTCTGTCCATGGAAGCATAACTATCACTTCTCAGAACTTTTTGAAATCTGCTTTCCTAAATTTGAATTCAAATTGTGTTTAAATAAGGTACCTATTATTACCAATTTACAAGGAGTATTGTTTCCTTTTTGTTCGTCTACATAAAACGAATATTTTTGTTTCTGGTACTCAATCATTTTTTGTAAATAAAAACAGATTCTGGCCAGCCTGAGTGGGAGCCTGTGCATTAAGGGGTTTTTTGTGGATTCCTTGGTGATTTAGAAAGTGCAGAATCTGGGTCATGACATAAGAAATTATTAAATGTCATGGCATGGAGGAGAAGAAATGTTGTCACAACTGTATTTTAGGCCCTCTGCTATACCTTTACATGAGACTCCCAGACCTTTCCTGGGTTCTGCTGCTTCCCCCTAACGTCAGTGCTCCTTCTGAATAAGTTCTCTCTGTCTTACACTACTTTTTCCAGATCTCCACTTTGCACTCCACAAAAATCCAGACATAAACTAAGGAAACTGAGTTACAGCAAGAAATATATGATGTTAAAGCTAAACAAGCATTTCATTAAATAGATTGCCTATGTCATGAATGGTGATCTATGAACTATTCAACAAATTTACCATTTAAGAGAATGCACTGAAAATAGATAAACAAAGCCCTGTTATCTTGGACTGTCTACTAGAACATGAAAATGGCTTTACTAAAGAAGACTTTATGTTCAAATCAATACATCAAATCAATACAGTAAATACATCCTAAGCCCCTGAGTGCTGATTGTTAGAGCAGTTTTGTACGTACCAGCACTGCAGGATAAAAAATATGAGCCATCATCCCTGTCATCAAGGAATTTACAATCTAGCACTCTCAAAATGTTTTTGCTGTATATCATGTATATACCATGATGGGTGTTATTATATTATGTTGAGGTTATTTTTGCTTTGTTTTAATCTAAAAGGGTATCCCCTAAAAGAACTAATAGCTAGGTATTTAGATAGGTTCTGCCTCTGAATATATGCAACTTTTTTTTTAACATTTTAAGGTTCCTTCTAGAATTTATAATTATATGATAATATGTAATATTAGTTTATATTATATGTAGAACAATGAGCTACAGAAAACACATAAAAATGGAAACTTTCCCTTTTATTCATGACAGTTTTAGAAACCTATTGACAACATATCCAAAAAACCTCTTAGCATCAAAAATGTTATTCCTTTGAGTACAGATTTCCATTAAGCTAAGAACCTCTTGGCTAAGTAAGCTTTGTTTGTTCATACCGTGTCTGAATTGCCCCTGAAAAAATAGGGGTATATGTTTATCGTTAATTTAACTTTAGAATACTTATTCCAGTTCTATAGGTATTCCAAATCTAACAATTCAATGCTGGAAAGATTTTTTTAATATTCTAACCCCTCTTCATTTTTGATAGAAAACAGCAGACATTCAAGTTGCCCACCATTCTGCATCATGAACATTTTTCTGCTGTAGGTTTTCACAAAGGTACCTCTCACTGGTGGACAGCTGACACTGTCCAAATAACAGAGATATCTACATGGTCAGTAAGTGGCAGACTGAATTTATCATCCTGCATGATTGATAAGAGAGGACATTTATTATTTGCTAGATAATATTCCAGAGGATTCATCTGTAGGTGATGGTATCAAGTCCTAGTTACTGGCATTTCCTATCTAGTTAGAAGATAAAGCACAGATGAGTTATTACATGGTTGCTCTGAACAATGAGAAAGCCCTGATCTTATTAAATCTACTGTCAATGAAGTAGAATAAAGGCTAAAAAGTAACTAGTTTTCTAGAGGTATAGTAATATACAACTATGTGGAGAAAAAAAAATTGTGTCGAAATATTCTGGGAACATGTGGCTCCTTTTCCAGGGAAAGACGTCAGTTTGATAGTAAGCAATGTATTCTTTAGTGATCTTTCTGTACTAAAAGCAACAAATTGGCAATTTGCATGCCACTTGACAAACAATAATTATATATAATAATAATATACAATAATATATAATATAATTATATATTATATCATATAATTATATTATATATAATATATAATTATATATAATATAATAATATATAATAATGTATGTAATAATATATAATAAATTGTGCAATTTCCAGAGGTATTCCATCATTATTTCTGAAGAGAGAAGTTGCTTGGTTATATCACTGCAGATTTAGCATAGTGTCTGACACTAAAAAATGTTTACTGATTGATGCAAAAGTACAAATGTTTGCAGAGGAAACCACAGAATAGGATTTTCTTAACCTTATTATCTAACTTTACCAAACTCCCTGGGAAAGGATAGAGAAAGAATGAAAGCAACTATTTTTTCCTAGATTGTGACATTTATTGCAATTTTCTGACAGGTAGAGGTTTATTTTCATTAATAGATGAGAAGTATAATGCTATTTTGATGTTAGCCAGTAAAATAGAGGAGCTGACTGATGAGAGAGAGAGAGAGAAAGAGAGAAAGAGAGAGAGAGAGTAAGAGAAAGAGAGAGAGAATCATCTGCATAGAGAGGATAATTAAACCCTTGGAAAATGATGAAGTCACCCAGTAAAAGAGTGTAGAGAGACAAGAAAAGAGGCCACTTGGAGTACACTCGTAATTAGGGGGCATGATACAAATGATGAACAAGCACAGGGAACTGTGGAACAAAAATCAAGAGAGAACAGTGTCATGAAAAACCAAAGAGAAAAAAGAATCCAGGGGGAAAAAGTGTGGTTAACAGAATCAAATACTTCAGAAGGATCAAGAAGGATAAGGATTAAGAAAAAGTTCATTATATATAACAATTAAGAGATCACTTGTAACTTTGAAGAAAGTTCTTTCAGATGGCTGATGAGATCAGGAGCCAGAGCTGAGAAGTAAATGAGAGGGAGGAAATGAAGGCAATAAGTATAGATAGCTTCCTTCACCACTAGCTGCTTTCTGAAAAATGTTTCAAACCTTCTAGAAATTACACCAATATGGTGCTTTTCTCTGTAAACTATTATACAAACTAATATGCTCTAATAAATTCTTATTGATCAATATCATATGTATGTGGTATAATAATCTCATCAAGTCAGAGTTCTGCCGGTAAATCACACTTGGCAGTTATTTTTCATTACTTTAGTATAGAAACAACCTTAATGACTTTTGTTTTTTATAGAACAAATCCTTTTTCTTTTATTTATTTATTTATTTTTTGTTTGGCTAGGCAATGGGGTCAAATGACTTGCCCAGAGTCACACAGCTAGTAAGTGTTATGTGTCTGAGGCCAGATTTGAACTCATGTCCTCCTGAATTTAGGGTCGGTGCTCTATCCACTGCGCCACCTAGCTGCTCCAATGGCTTTTTAAAGACAGGAGAAATGTAGAATGAAAGTTGGAGTGGATGGTAAGATTTAGTGAACATTTTTAAGGATGGAAGGACTCAAAAATATTTGTAGAGCTTAGGAGAAGAACTATTCGATAGGGAGAGATTGAAGCTCAGAGAAGTCATTGTTTATGGAGACACTCTCTGAGAAAAGATAGGAGGTGAGGAATCAAGAGTGCACATAAAAAAACTGACCTTGGTAAGAAGAGTAATTTCTTCATTCAAGATTTGAGTAAAGGAGGAGAGGATGAAAGGTGATGTCAATAAATGTTCAATACGTACTTGTTGACTAGCTGAGAAATTTAAGATGGTATTTATCTAGCAGAATTAGCATCAGAAAGAAGATAAATATTGATTTGGAAAAGGAATAAAGAATATAGCAAAGAAAAGAGTACAAAACAGCGTAGTAGAGAATTTTACAACAAGCTTGTGACTAGTTAAATTTCTGTTGGACAGAACAGACTTAACCAAATTTACAAATGTAATTTGAAATGATGAGGATAAATGTTTATGGAATGTGAGTTTTTTCAGGGTATATTGTTGTACAATGGAAGGTAGGTTGGCAACAACAGTAGAAGTAAACATATGAAAAAATTTAAAATCAGAAATTTATTTTTGGCCCAAGAAAACTAAGGTACTTTGAGAAAAAAGGACTAAATAGAAAGATTTTTATTAATTATCATGAAGGTTCACATTTACGCAGCACTGTATGTTATTTGATTCTCACAAAACTCTTTGAGTTAGGCAAGTATTATCATCCCTACTTATCAGACAAGGAAACTGAGGCTCACAGATAGGAAATGACATTCCCAAGTTTGCACAGATAACAAGTGGCAGTGTCAGTGCTCAAGTACAGGATCTCTGACTTCATTTCTGAATTCAGATTTACTTTAAAGAAAAAGATTTAAACATTAAATTCAGTGGTATAAAAAAAACCAGAGAAACAAAGCAAAGCTTGCTTCACCTGACTCAAATGATTTGCTTCTTTGCTTGCTTGTTTGTTTGTTTTACAGAATGCCAGAGTCACCTGGTGAAGCCCCAGAATATCCTTTGATTGTTTCAGTCAGCGATTGGCTGGATTCAATTAAAATGGGCCAATATAAGAATAATTTTATGGCAGCAGGGTTTACGACTTTGGATTTGATTTCAAGAATGAGCATTGAGTAAGTGGTACTATTCTTGCTACTGTATTTATCTGCATTGCTGTAGATCTATACCATTGCATGTTATATCTAGTTCACCATGGCTATGCTAAGATGACATTTACAAGTCTCTCTCCCTTCCTCTGACAACCCTCCATGTAGGAATTAGCTATTCCATAAAAATTTGAATGCGTGAATGAGTATAAAGCTCCCCAAGGCTGTACTCTTCCCTGAATTGTCATTATTTATGACCATTTCATTTTAGGGGTTATTTAAAATAATTGGCATAATAGCTTCTTTCTGAAAAACACAAATGTTATTCAAACCTTATAGAAATTATACCAATAGAGTCATTTGGGTCAGTTATTAGTCCATACAAAATAATCAATTTTAATCAATTTTATTTATCAACATTATCATATTGTGCATATGTGTGTATGTATACATATATGTATACATACACACAAAGTATAATCTCATTAAATGACAGTTCTACTTGTATATCATACTCATCAATTATTTTTCATTGTCTCTACTTTCATCCTTTGCCTTTTTTTAAAGTATAGTAATTATTTCAATATATATTTAGTCCAGCATCATAACAGTTAATTGTTCTTGTTTCAAGTAAATATGAAGAACAAAACAAATAATGCAGTGTCCTGCACAGAATATGCTGTGTTTGTGTTTCTTCCAGTTACCAGCTAATACCTATGTTTGCATGAAGTGCAAATTGGTCTCCATCCTAGAGGAGAAAGTGAAATGGTTATAGTAAAGCATTTCTACTCTCCAGGGAAATTAGTCAGAGAGTTAGGGAGAATGAAATGTTCCTTGAAAGAATGAAATAAGGACTTCAAGGAAGATATCAACAGGCAAAAGGATATAAAGAGACAAAAAGAATTCTCATCTATATCAGGAGTATGGAAGGTGGAAGAATGTGACACAAAAGGAAAGGAAGGAAAAAGACTACTGAATATTTGGAACTATTTAACAAGTATGAAACTTCCTTTACAGAGGTCAGAGCTAGACAATATCTTAAGGAAATAGTTTCTTGGACTCAAAGAATGATGTGGACCTGCAGCTATTATCAGATGATCCAGTGAAGTTTAGAAGTAATGGCGCACACACACACACACACACACACACACACACACACACACACACACACACTATGCTAGTTGTGGCAGTTAAGTATTTCTTCTTGAGGTGTATTATGAGACAGCCATTTGTAGACTTGATATGAACAACACAGACATCTGCTGTCTCCTTGGAACATAAATCCCAAGATGTAATGAAGAGTTTATCAAATGTGTTGAGCATTACCTATTTTTTTGGTGATTCATGTGGGTTCCAATGATTCCACAAGAAAAGTATCTAGAAATCATCACTAAGGTTTAGGAATTCCTGGGCAAGAAACTAAAGATTTTAAGAAGAATACAAATAGGGTTGTTATCACTGCTACCAGTAAGAGGTTAGGGCTTCAGAAGAGAAAGACAGATCTGGACACTGAGCAACTGCTAAGAAGAAGGTGTATGAGAAAAGAAATTTGTACTTCTGAACCACAACTTAAATATAAAAATTATGAGCTCTTAGCCAGAAATGAAGTATACCAGAAATGGTCAATAAAAACAATTTCTTTCTTTTGAGGGTTTTTTTTTTCTCCTTGAGGTATGAGGAAGGAGAAAAATACTTGTTAATTGAAAAAATTAATTTAAAAATATGTTTTCTTGGGTTCTTATGCATCTAGTGAAGAGATCTTTTGACCAAAAATAAAATGGGAAAGTTGAGGGAAGGTGTGATTGACTAAAAGGAAACAGTGGATTAGAGAAATGCCATAGATATAGTGTGTTTAAATTTTAGCAAAGCATATAACAAAAATCTCTAATGCTGTCCTTGGAGGCAAAATGTTACAGGGGCTAGATGATATTACTAAGTGGATTTGGAACTGATTGAATGACTAGTTCCCAAGAGTAGTCCATTAATGAGTCAATGTCAACATGAAGAGCGAAAGACCTCTCCCCCCCACTTTGGGAGAGGATATTGAAGAGGGATTCACTGGAAAGATCTAGAAATTCATATAACCTAAATAATTCAAGGCTTCACATGAGGAAATTATAGGAGTAACCAATATGAATTGATTCTTTGTGTATTACACTCTACAAAGTTCTATGGTTGCTAGTTGTCATACCGTATTGTGACATTAGATTTACATAATTACCTGAATTGTACTTCTTGAAATATCTGAACTCCATTTCTAAAAAGTACTTTTATAAATGTGTAAGTACCTGAACTTGAATATTCTGAGCTGTGTTCTTGCCACTAAAATTTCTTCATTTGTTTGTTGGTTTTTATTGTTAGAGAGTTTCCATTTTGTTTTTATTAGTTATTGTCTTTGATCAGTAAATGAATCAATCCTCTTGTGCACCTAAGTCCCAATTTTTTTTTCTTTTTCTCACAGTGATATTAGAAGAATTGGGGTCGTACTCATTGGACACCAGAGACGAATAGTGAGCAGCATACAGACTTTACGTTTACACATGATGCACATACAGGAGAAGGGATTTCATGTATGAAAGTACTATACAAACAACTGTGTTTTGTGCCTCAGCATTTCTAAAATGGAAGATATTCCCTCTCCTTTCTCCCTTCTGATTCCCCTGACTTCACAAACTACAGTCTTGTGTTCAGAGTATGAACACATTTATGGTTATGTTTCTGACTTGGGTTTTTAATCATATTGCATAGTTCTTCCTTCAATTACTTGCTAATATACTGGCCCACTGCAGACTGTCGCCACATACTGGTAAATAACTCAGCATGGATAGGTCACTTTGTATAATTGTATTTGGGAAATGTTCGTAGAAAGCAACAGCCCATTTGTCCAGGTATAGCTTCATAATCTATGTAGAGTTCACTGGTAGATTGAAAAAAAGTAATTGACTTCCTTTTGTGTTTTGTGATTGTGTAGTTTCCAATTTGACATAAATATTTATTTTATAGTTAGCTAAATTTAACTGCATGGGTCATACCATATTTGTAATAGTTTAACTGCTGGTAACTAGTACCTGATCATTCTAGGATTCTTTGCATAAGTGACCAATACTTTATGTAGTAAATTCTCATTATTTGCAGTTATTTGGAGAGAGGGGAGAAGAGAAAAAAAAAAGCTTCTAAATCCTCCAAGGCCCTGAGTTTAGCTTTCTTTTTTTAATCAACATCCAATACTGCTATATCATTTACTGTTTGTTATACTTTGTTACTGTCATTTTCCCTTTGATTTTTAATAAGTACATCATGAAAATCATCCCTGGAAAAGCTATGAGCATATGGCACTAATAGGTTCCATGTAGGTTGAGAAACAAAGATGCATAGTGGAAGATATAATTAAAATATTGCCTTTAGAAGTTTGTTTGGAAAAAAATATCAGAGGAGCAAAGGAAGTAATTATTCTTTGTTTAAACACTTTGAATGAGATATAAATGACATTCTTAAAATTTAGAATTATTTTATACTAATACTGAGGTGCATGAAAATAGACAAACATACCAAGCTGATTGTCAATAATTAACATGGCAAAATTTTGAGTTTTTATCATTTATTCAAAAAAAAAGGTTACATGATCATGGTTAGCCATGTTTTCAAGACCTTACATGATACAAGTATGCTTTTCTGCCTCAAAGGGAGTATGTCCAGATTTACCAACATGCTCATATGCAAACTGAATGTCAACCTGTGTACTTTGGGAGGGATAGTAATGAAGAGACAATGGCTAGAATGTGGTATCCTTGCCTTTTCTGATTACTTTTGAACAAGCACCCAGAAAAGCTTATGCAATACATTTCTAAGTGACTTAAAGCTCAGTCACCTTGCCAAGATAATTCCATTCATGAGGCTAATTCAAGGCTCAAAATATTCTTTCCTGTGAAACTAGAAAAGTAACTACTGTGACCAGATTGAAGAAAGTAGAGGACACCAAAAAGTTAACCTCCCTAAGAGGGATGAATGAGGAAGCACTCCTGGAATAAAAAACAGAGATGATGAATAAAAAAAAAAAAAGATGATTTCTACAGTTTAGTTTTATTTTACCTTAGGGAGGTTAGTACTCTCATTTCACTCCTAAATTTCTCCCTAAACTACAATTTCTAGGGAAAATATCTTCACTAGAAACAGCCCCCAGTTTCTTTGATAAGTCATAAACACTCTTTTTCATTTTAAGACTTTGTTGATTACACTATTAGACTAGATTCCTCAAATGGAATTTCTTTTATTGATTTATCTCCTGGTTTTGCCAACCACAGCTTACTTTCCCTTCCTTTACCAAAGCAATACAGCTAGAAAAAAGATGGCTTTTGCAAATAGCCCTTAAAATAATCTTAAAACAAAAGCAAACCAGGGTTAAAATAATCTTAAAACAAAAGCAAACCAGGGTGATCAATCAATTGTTAAGTGTGTGTGAGAGTGTGTGTGTGTGTGTGTGTGTGTCTAAAATAGCTCAGCATCAGTCTAAAACTTAGGTACATATTCTTGCTGTCACTTGCATGTTCAGGCATCTCTTGTAGACTAGATGCAGACTGCTTGATGCATTTACACAAACCTCGCTACATTTAGAGGTAATATAATTTCCGTATTTATCTTCCTTCAAACATATATAATATAATATAATATAATATAATATAATATAATATAATATAATATAATATAATATAATATAATATAATATAATATAATATAATATAATATAATATAATATAATATAACATAATATAACATAATATAACATAATATAACATAATATAACATAACATAACATAACATAACATAATATAACATAATATAATATAATATAATATAATATATAATAATAAACAAATTTATTAATCACATATATTTATTTTTATAAAACAAGAAGAGAAAAAAAGCTGTGTGAAAGTGAAAACTGAAATGATGGTGATCTTCAGTAAGACTATCCTTGTATAGCAAATTCTGTGCACTCCAGGTGAAATAAATTTCCATAAATTAGTTAAAAAATTCTGTAGGCACAGAATGTAGTCATTGTAAGGTTGAGGGTGTCAATGGAATACCCTTTTATTTAAAACTTGGATAATCACAGATCTTGTTGGCTTTTGCTCATTTTTTTATTATTAACTAGCCTAAAGAAAAATTTTACAATCCCTACACCTCTTAGCTCAGCTTTAGAATGAAATGGCAATTTTTTTTCCAGATCCATACATCTTTATAACTTCAATTGTAAATTTTTTAACAAAAATTGGGTAGAGCCCAAGGTAGGTCTGCAAAACTAACCAGAAGCATGGACCATAATCATCTATTGTTTCTCCTAAAGATTGCTTATCTCTTATATTTGGCCCTCGCAGTCATATCAATAGTCACACTACTAGGGAAATTTGAGAAATGTGTTTACATGTTGAATCTGGATATATTTGATGCACAGAAATCAAAAGTATTTAACATGCAGAGAATAAAACTAGTCAATAGAAAAAAAAAGAATAATGTACATAAAAATCAGAAGTAAACCTTGGGGAAGAAACATACATAATTGAAATATGCATATGCATTTAAATTCTTTATAATGACAAATTTACACTGTTGAGTTTAGTTCCTTGAAAGACACTACGTAAACCAGCTTTCATTCTGCTTTACAAAGACTCACTACATTACATAGTTAGTCCACGTTTAGTAAAAAATATAAAAACAATGAATATTTTCAGAATAAGATAAATTAAGTAAATAAGAAAGCCAATAATATGCTCAAATTGTAACCAGTTATTTAGCAAAATTGTGGACTCAGTAGGAAAAGAGTGGATGTTTATTAAATTCTGTTACAGTCACTACAAGGGGCCATGTATGTCATGGACACATGGCCAAATAGAATGGATTTGTCCTATTTTCCACTGCATTACCCTTTAAAATTCATTAGCACTTAGCTTCACATAGGATATTAGCTCTAGGGTGCCATTAATTGAAAATAAAGTAAATTGAAAAGAGTTCCAAAATGAATTGGAATCATTTTCCAGAGTTTTCACTAAAGAGATTTATTATGACTTTCTAGTCAATGTTCTAATCTAAACATGAAGGAAATCAAAACATGTAGTTGTTAGCTTACTGATCATAAGCAACTCTTCCCTGATAACAGAGGGAACAGAAGTAAATATGTACACTTCCTTTATCCTATCCCATTTTTTTTGCCCTAACTGTAATACCACCTAAGCAGAGAGAATCCAATTCATACTCCTCCATGTATTTATGTAACACTTGCTATAAGCTCAATAGAAGACATTAAGAGATAAAGGAACACATCATGAAAAATAAAAATAGATTGTTCTCTGACCCCTGCCACTCAATTTCTGTCTCTCTTGATACTAGAAACTGAGATTCTTAAAGGAGATAGGGTTATTAGAGATTGCCGAAACCTCACTTTTTGGCTTTGTGATCAACTTTTTCAGTAACTCAAACACTGTTCAATCTCTTGTACTTGGTAAAGGTAATGATTAAATTAAGAAACGTTCTACCCATGAGTATTATACAGTATACAGTCTTTATGCTATAGTCATCATTCTGTTACAGAAGTGGCCTTCCCTTTGAGAAAAGACAATAAATACCCAGACACAGTAGGTAACAAGTGGTGCAGATGTGGCAAGTCCACGGACCCAAATTCCCATAGAACCAACTTCTAAACTTCTATTTCCCCAAATATCCCTAGTCCTAGTGCAAGAATGTTAGCCTCAAATTCTGGAGAAGGTGAGTCCTTAACCATCCCTACTGAGTTCTGTATGCCATCTTTCTCTTTCACTTAAGGAAACTCTGGGGAATGACAGCAATCTGTCATCTAAAAGTTTTTAACTGATTCCTCAAAATTCTCTTTCACTTAAAGATCCATAGCCATTGCTCAAGGACACTCATTTCTTCCCTTATCTCTTGTCCAACCCAATCTAATGATCCTGATAAATTTAGTAATGAGTATTGACTTGCTGTGTCTGCATGGAATAATGTCATTTGCCTATTCCTCATTTAACAAAGGACAGAAGTGACTATTCATCTCCATAACCAGTATAGAGATAGTTAAGACAAAAGGAAAGAAAGTCTTAATGTTTCAGAGGAGTAAAATATCCCCATCTTTTTTTTAGCTTCCTTTACAAAGATGCTGAATATCAGGCAAGTGAACTGAACTTTTTTTAAGAAGATGAAAGCTCTCCCTCTTAACATTAGTGAATTATTCTGAACATTACTCTGTTTTGAAAATGGGTGACAGACTTCAAAGTGTATTTCTGATAAATTTCCATCAATTTAACATTGTCCTGGATTTCACTACAATGACATAGAAAGGTCACTTGGACTTCATCTGAAAGCTTCTTGTTCCTTTACCCTTAAGTTTGGAGAGGTAAGTGTTGCTAAGAGAACTTTTATTTGGAGCTCTTGGACTCTTCTAAAACATATTTAGAAACATTCTACCTGAAACAAAAAACAAAAAAAAATATTATTTAGGTGTTAGCTCATAGAGTAGATTTATAAGTAAACAGAATGGGAAGAAGGAACTGTCTCCACTTTAAATTCATAAGGATGACAAAATACTTATGAATGATTGGTTAGTACCAAGGCCCTAATAAAAATCTTTGCTTTCCATCCCATAATATTTTAAGTTTTTCTACTGAAACTAAGGTTGTACATAACCAAAGTAGAAAGAAATTTATTCTCAATTATCCAAAGTGGCTAATAAGAACTCCCCAAACCACTAGAGAAACAATTAAGCTTCAATTTTCT